GTAGTCGTTGCTGCTGATGCCTCACTGTTAGCCCCCGTCATTATCACTTCTCTCTGTTGATTGGTTATTCCCTGCAGTACTGCAAGAGGTACTCATTGTAGAATCAGCATCATCATCATCATCATCATCATTGTTGTTGTTATCATCACGATTGACGTTATCAGGAGTAGGCGGGTTTGGTACTGGCAGAGCAGGACCTTCTTCTGGTCTGCCTACTATTTCCCTGTTATGCTGGGCCCACCTGATTGAAGTACTACTACTACTACTACCACTCTACTACTACTACTACTACTACTACTACTACTACCACTACTACTACTACTACTACTACTACTACCACTACTACTACTACTACTACTACTACTACTACTACTACTACTACTACCACTACTACTACTACTACTACTACTACTACTACTACTACTACGTTAAATGGGACGATGTAGCTATACGATGCTACAAAGATAACCAAATCAGAACAGATCAGATCTATTCAAGCCCAGTTGAACTACAACCGAGTCTCGAGTCGAGTCGAGTCTAACTGAGAGTCTAACTGAGAGTCTAACTCAGACTCTCGAAAGACAATAGGGACTGCGATGATGATGTAAATGACCGCAGCCACTGTCGCTGGCAGCACTATCGGCGCCTCGGTCTACTACTACTACTACTACCTCTCTCGCCTCCTTTCAATGGTGTCCACAGGATCATCCTCAGGATTAGGATATCTATCATCATTAGACCGCATAAGCCTTCCCTCTCTAAACTCCTCTCGAGCCCTTCTTATCATCCGATCAAAGTTCCTCATATTTCTTCTACGCTCTTCCTCCTTTTCCTGCCGTATCAACTTTCTCTCCTCCCTCTCTGTTTCGATGCCCCCACGATAGAAAAATGCCTCTGCCAATCTGCGTTCATCTGCAAATATCGGACGGTCATCGAGATATCTAAACAACGAAAATTCTAATTTTCCGAAGTAGTTTTTTTGTGAAGTAGTGTTACTATCATCATCACATGCCGAATAGTTGTTTTCGATCGAAATTAATCTTGCCACGGAAAATATGAACATTTTTCAACAAAGCGGCAATTCTTACTTTAACCCTGGCATCTTGGCAACGAGTGTTTTCCTATAGTTTGGTATTTTCTTCACGACTGGATTCCCTTTCAAGTAGAGCACCCTCAGCCCTCTCATTTTCATGAAAACTTCATCGATCTGATAACAACGAAAATAATCAATCACTAAATATGATCAACACTACGACAGCGGGGTCTTCAATCTTATTGTTGGTTAAGTCAACTACGGCTACCCCCTCTCCATCATCGGTCGTATTCAGGGGTCCATCGTTCTGGTCAGTTGCCTCGATCAACGATATGATGTCACCGACGCCGCCCATACCGATTTGGTTGTTGGCGAGATTGAGAGTATTTAGTTTCCGTAGATGCCCTGAAATTAGTCTTATCCAGAATCATCACTATTTTGTATTACGTATGTTCTCTATTTTCTTAATAAAATTGTCAGGCAAACTCAATGTCCATAGTTGTGCATTGTTATCGAGATTTTCGATTTTCTCAATGCAGTTTTGGCCGAGAAACCTGCCAGGATCTGCTTCCTTGTGGAAGTTCATCAGCACCGATATTACAAACTCCTCAGTGCCGTCAGATGCTCCAGCCCTTCTATTTTGGAAAAACCTGGGGGGAAAATTTTTGGTATTTTTTTCATCATCTTTTACCGTTGCATTCAGCGTAAAGAACCTTGAGACCTGTGAATTCGTCGAGATTTTCCAATTTACGATAACCACCATAATGTATATACAATTTGTCATTCAACTCTTTCGTACGGTAGTACCTACATTATCATCAACAACAGCAAATCCACCCCAGTGGTTTTCTTTACATGTTTTTATCTGCGTCTAAAATTTATTGAGGATTGACGAGCCCGGTCTTGCTTTGTTCGTGCGTGCAGTCCTGTGTACGTGCGTGCCCCGCAATTGATGGTGTTTTTTCCCTGAGCCATTATATTAAATGACATTGATACGCTCAATCTCAGTTTCACAACCGTAAACTTGTCTACTCGTTGTTAATATGGCGACACCTGAGGAGCTCGCTGAGCTCTCTGAAGCCCGTAGAGAGTTGGCCGCTACGCGCCGTTCCCTCCGGGATACTCGCGAGGCTCTCAACAACATCATCTCCGACGAGAAGGATGATACTCAGCAGCTTATGAGCGACCTCGCGTCCAAGGAGGCCAGTAATCTTTCTAAGATAGGTAGCCTCGAGGCCCGTATTGCTGAACTTGAGGCCCTGGCTGACCGATCCGTCAGCGAGATATCACGGAAGGAAGGTT